ACCATCTTTGAATGATAAGAGTCTAGTTAAACGCTGTTGTTGGAATGAATGGCTGAATGAACCCAAGGTTTTTTCTGCTCTAGCTGTAAAGGGGTTTTTGATATATAAACATTATCTTATACATTTGTGTTCAAACTAATAGCAGTGTGATTAAAAAAAGGTGGGGAAAAGGTCAAAATCCTTACAATAGCTTTTATTTCCACACATTCAAATGCATTGGGGACACTGCACACTCGATTCCAAATCAAAACATAAAGAAAAATGTTATCAAATTTGTGATTCTTTTACATAAAGTGAAGTACAAGGAATCTTAAGCTGTTCAAAAGAATAGCTGTGTCTGCATTTTACTTTACAAACTCAAACATTTACTGTATACACTGAAAAATGCTTAAAGATTGAGCTTTCCTGTGAATCACTGAACAGATACTTCTGTTTCTGAGAACTGCTGCACATTTGTGTTGCATGGAGTCGACTAACTTCTGGTACCTGTGAACAGGTATTCCAGACCTGGACGATTGGACTACATTCCACTTTTCCTCTGCATTTCTTGGTTTTGCCTCAGAAACAGCATTTTTGAATTGTCTATTGGATTAAGGTCCAGAGATTGGGCTGGCCACTCCATAACTTTAATCTTGTTGGTCTGGAACCAAGCTGCTGCTCGCTTACTGGTGTGTTAGGGGTCATTGTCTTGTTGAAACACCCATTTCAAGGGCATTTCCTCTTCAGCATAAGGCAGCATGACCTCTTCAAGTATTTTGACGTACCCCCAAACTGATCCATGATCCCTTGTATGCGATATTAAGGCCCGACACCATAGATTGAGAAGCATTTCTTATACTATGATGTCATGCCTATTTATCGACTCCATGCAACACAAATGTGCAGCAGTTCTCAGAAACAGAGATTATACAACTAAATATTAGTTCAGTGATTCACAAGCTCAATCTTTAAGCATTTTTCAGTGTATACAGTAAATGTTTGAGTTTGTAAAGTAAAATACAGACACTGCTATTTTTTTGAACAGCCTAATATTCCTTTTACTTCACTTTATGTAAAGTAATCACACATTTGATAACATTTTTCTTCATGTTTGATTTGGAATAGACTGTGTAGTGTCCTCAATGCATTTGAATGTGTAGAAATAAAAGGTATTATAAGGATTTTGAGCTTTGCTCACTTTATTTTTATCACACTGCTATTATTTTGAACACAACTGTATGTGCTGAGTCACACTGTTGAACTCCTACATTTGATATTTTGAACACAATACACATTTAAATTTCACAGGCTCTCTGTAACTCCCATGGAGACATAGTTACTATAGATGCAGTTACTATACCCTGATGCGTGCAGCCTGCAGTTTGTAAATAGCTCAATTTGATAACAGTGAAACAGGGCTACAAATACTGCCACTCAATGGACACTGGATTATTTATTCTCTTAAAGGCAAATCATGTCGGCATTACTCAAGGTGTAGCTTATTAAGGTTTTGTTCCTTACTGTCCTGATGTAAATCGTTTTTTGGACATTTTGTGTGGCTCTCTTAGAATGTGTTTATGAAGATGTGCTTTATTCAGGATAGGTGACCATGTCAGTTAACCCCATAAAGCAGTTACAGTCTGCATAAACATTAGTTTGCATACTGAAAATGCAAATAGAAACATTTAAATGTAACTCTAAGGAGACTGGCTTGCTCCTCGTCAACCTTAGCCTCTACACTGGTCAGATGTCAAATCTTTATTCTTAAACTTTGCATTATTCAGTTATCATTAGTACCTCAATGTCTATGACTCCACTGTCAGTTATTTTTGACAATAACCCCTCAATAATGTAGTCAAGCAAACATTTCTTTGTGTCACTGAACTCAGAGTACCAATTGGAAGGTGTTGCCTTCCAAAAAGAAAAAATTAAATCTCTAGAATAAACCTTTTATATTTTGTAGGGGCTTGGTCTAAATATATCTTGTATTAAAATGTGAGAATGCAAAGCCTCAGCACAAGGCAAAAAGTTTTTTTTATCACTCCCTGTGAAAAGGTGATTAAAAGCAAGCATATCTGTAAGAAGTTATTGCATAGTATTTGATTCTTGTATAGTCTTTGTTGTTAGAGTTCCTATACCCTTCAAAAGCTTGAGTGTCTGGTTTATATGGTTACTGTGTGCAGGGAGTCAGTTTTCAACCTGTATTATGCCACACTTCTATTGGATTAAAATGGTAATCACACATGTTCTGACGTCATCGTGCTTTATTCCCGTTGCAGTCTGTTGCTATTTAATTTTGATCATAAACATAAACAGCTGGCAATTGAGGCTGAGAATTTATATTGCATTCATTAGAGATCATGCATTAGGGATGTGCTGTATGTGAGCATCTGCAGTGTAAAGTGGATTAATAATTGGATTTCAAAAATGATTCCTGGAAATTAACATAAAATAACACAATTTCTCGTCAGTCTATCAATGAAGGCAAGTCCGTCCATCCATCTATTCATGGATCCATCACACACAGTTTACAGAAGTGTAAAGATGGCTCTTGGTGTCCAGGCTCGCCATTTGGATTAATTAGTCATAAACAGATGGCACAATGAAAAAAAATGATTTGACTTGACTGCATGATCAGTCACAAGCTTTAGAACTAGGAAGTTTTGTATTCCTGTCAACATGACAAATCTAGAACTGCTCAAACTAATTGACTTTTACTGATCATTACTAACAAATTCAGCTGTTCAGTGTTCTTTATCATAAAGTGGAGCTGCGTGTGTCTTGAAAAACACTATGTGACAAGGTTTTGTTTTTAAGAGTAGAAATATTTCACTGAAATGATCTTTTCTTGACAGATTTAGCATACCAAATGTAAAATGACTGTGAATAAATCATGTTAATGGTTAATGAAGCAGGTTTCAACTCAAAGTGCACTTTGTTTGAAGTCTAGCAGCTATAATGTATATCAAAGCCACTTATGTAGTAATCTTTTTTAAAATTCAGGTTTCAAGTGTGATTCTGATATACGTAAACCTACACATAAGGAATTTAAGAACAGTGGTGACACTATTAACACATTCACAAATGAATGTTCACTGTTGTGAAGAGACAGAAGCATCATGATGACAATTTTGAATAAATATTGAATTCCATACAGAGATTCACAGATTGAAAAATGTTTGAATCAGCCAAAGGAATTGTAAAGTCATACATCTCATGGCAGGTTAAACTTTTTAATCATATGCTCAATCTGAGGTTTTGTCATTTACTGTAAGTGTCCTACTGTGGCCGAATCATATTCTGTTACTATAGTTGAATAGTATTTTAACATAGTGTGTCTCCCAGCCCTGGACAGCAAAAGACAGAGAAAAAGGGAGGAAGGAGAGAGAAGCGTCACATTCATACTTATTGAAAGCGTGGATGCGAAACAAAAACTGGTCGAGGTACTTTCGGGCAAGAGGAGCAAGTGCTGGGAAACTGTCTTTGTTTGTCCTCCAGCAGTCAATACTTCTTCCCCTCTGCCGACATGATGGCTTGTGTGTGTGTGGCTGTTGTGATAGTGTTTGTGTCTGGGAACATGGCAATACTGAGCTCACTGTGTTAGTCTGACATTGGCACAGAATCTGATATATTGTAGAGGACTGGCAGGTCACCAAACACGACTAAACTAGCTGAAAATGAGGTGATTCCACCAGCAGGTCATTTGAACTTCAAAACAGTGCTTTTACAAGCTTAGTTTTCGTCTTGATTACAAAGATGTTGAACTCAGGTTAGACTCAATCCTTCCTACTGTCTGGGTGGAGGAAAAGCTTACATGTCATTTATTTTTCAGACTGGAGAACAGGAATTTACTTGGTATGTTTAGTTGTATTACAAATATGAAATTATGAGTTATGGAACTCATTTGAAAGTGATTAATATCAGTATGTAATATAAGTTACATAAAAGAACCAAGGTCATTTGACATGTAACACAGACAGTTATCAATACAGGTCAAATGCTAGCAGCAACCTCCGGTCTTAAAAACTGAAGCCAATGCGGAAGTACAAAATGCTGCAGTTCATCGAGTGTCCGCTTTAGGCTGGCTCCAGGAACACCGGAAGTGACATACACACCAGTTTCAGTTGTTAGAGCAGAGATTATCCATAGTTAGTCATTGACATGATTGACAGGTGGGCTCAATGTAACGGTTTGGCTTAAAGGCTTAAAACCCGCCTCAGCTCCAGCTCTCAGCCCGTCGTTAGGTTGACTGAAAGTTAGGCTAAGGCAGCATTCCCAGCATGGCGGCTGCTGCCGATGAGCCTCCGGAGCGCCCTGCAGTCACAGATGGCTGATGTCAAGTTTCATCCATTAATATTTACTACGCTAAAATGTAACAAATTGGGAGAACTCTTTTATAAAACCCAATACTTTTTGGCTTTTAGGTTTTGCCTTTTAAAAGGTTGTCTTCAAAAAAATAAAGTCAAGCACCCATTCAGTGCTATAATGTTTATTTAGTTTTTTTTATTGTGATAAGGATTTTATCACCCTTGAATTTATAGTATTAAAAAAGGCTTCCATTCAGGGGTGTGCTGGAAGATAATTATACTCTGCAGATGTAGCTTTTTTCCTGTCTTCTTTTTATTCTACCTTTAATTTTCTTCCCTTGTGCAATGTGCTAATATTTCTTCCATTACCTATTACTAATTTGAGCTTTACATTTATGTTATTAGTGAACCCATAACACAAACTGATGGGTGGAATATACTGTAACCAATCATGTAAATAGCAATGGCATCACATTCAGGCTTGTGCCGATATGTGCCGGTGACTTGCAGTGTGTGCATACTTTTACACCAAGGTCAAGATCAGAAACTTCAAATAACATGGAAAGCTTTTAGTGGCGCAAATACTAGATATACAAATGAATTTAGTGGCTTTTCAAAATGGCAATAGACATAGTTAATGAAACACTGTGACATATTTTATACAGTAATGCATACTATTCTTTTAAAAAGTGTCCTTTCTTTTTTATTCTCCAGAGCTGAAAAGTAGTTCGTGTGGAAACCCGGGGGTTCCATCAAAAGGCATATTGAATGGAACTCAGTTCAACGTAGGAGACAAGATTCGTTATAGGTGCATCACTGGCTACGTCCTGGATGGTCATTCTCTCCTCACCTGTGTGACCAATGCAGCCAGTGTGTCAGTTTGGGACTTCCCTGTTCCTATCTGCAGAGGTAAGGATGTTTTATTACTAAACTTTATTTATTTTCTCATTCAAACATGGATGTGATGACTGCTGCTTACAATGTTTTCTCCCAGCTGTACCATATGACCGGCGGGAATGATGTAATCTTCACATTTTTGGTTCCCTTGAGAATGAGCAGGTGGCTTTATTTAATTTGGCCTTTTTCTTAAAGTTAATTACATTTTAATGATTGACATAAAGTTTGATGGCTTTGTGATTTGGTGACTTATCAGAAGTAGTAAAGGTTAATTCCCAATTTGATTTGTGCGTGTGATTTTAGTCATGTTACAGAACTTAAATCTGGGCTGTGTGGCTCAAAAGGTTAATTAAATATGTATACTGATAGAGCAGGTAGCTTAAATACATTAGGGCTACAAACAGGAATGATATGTCTAACAGATCTTTAATTGGGCTTTTTTGTTTCTAATTGACTATCACATGTGGGCTCCAAGTCTATAAAATGTATACTGTTTTTTTCTGAGATGATGCTTTGTTCAATTCAATGAGTTGTTTACTGCTTATCTGAGGTCACATCACCTTTTCTTTTAGACTTCCTGGGTAGAAATGCAGGTTACAGGGTCTACAAACTAAGCAAGGGAAGGCAATCTAGATTCTTTTAACTCAAAATGTTCGGCAGTAAAAATAGATATTTCTTTATGTTAAGTCCATAGTGGTTAAAGGGATATTTCACCTGTTAAAACATGAATCTGTATTGACATTGGGTCATACATGTAGTAGAAATGTGAAATACATTTTGAAGTTGGTGCCTTCTTGGTCAAGAAAAGGCAGAAAGTGTCTTTTTGGCTCATGTGGATGAAAGACACCAAATCCCAGAATGCACAGCACCGCAGGCCACTCCATACACATAAGGCCATTTCCTCAACTGATTCCGAGATTTATTCCAGAAGGAATTGGTATCTTGGAACTTCTTGGCTGAAAACAGACTCTATGTCAGTGTCCATAGGCAAACAGTGAGAGCACCGAAACTACCAGTCCGCCCCAGCTTGAGCCAGCCCGGCTCCTTGTCCTCTCCACCGCTGACAGGCAGGCCTTATGTCTCAGCTGCTGAGCTGGCGGCGGCCAGCAATGTAGCAATGTGGCCGCAAGACGTTTGCTGCCGACAGGCCGGTTTTGTTTCTCGGCTGCTGTGGCCAGCGGCAGCCCCGGTGGCCCCTGCGGCGGCCCCGGTGGCCCCTGCGGCCAGTGGATAGCAGCGGCAGCAGCCAAGACACAAGACCAGCCTGTCGGCAGCAGCCGTCTCGCCACTATATTTATATTTTTTTGCCATTATTAGCTTTCTCCATAGAGCCTGTTAGCATAGCTTCCAAGCAATATGGCGGACGTTAAGTTTTGATTCTGGGAGTGAGTTCCCACCCTCTGATCTGTGATAGGTCTGTAGCTTCAGTGGTCGAAAATATGAGGAACTAGCGTTGTAGTTTCACCCCGCTAACCGCAACAGCTTCCAATCATGGAAAATAAAAATAAAAATTATGCCATCGGAAGCTCATTTTCAGACTTAAAAATACAAAGATATCCCGTCTCAGGAGAAAATGAGGGTGGGATGCACGACCATTCAAAAATACTACCAGGTTTCTAATGATACAAAGCTTAATGCAAATGGGTGAAGTCTCCCTATAAGCATCAGCTCCATTATCATGGTCCGTAAGATGGAGCAGCAGGCCATTAACATTAACAGTAGCTACAGGAGAGAAAATAGATATTTCTAAGACCACACTCCAGGGAAAGGAAATTGAAAATGTGTCATTACTCAGTCAGACATTTTAACATGTGAAACTGAAATATTCACTCTGTGTGTGCTTTCATACTTGCACAAAACTCCTGAAAAATTGCATGCCCCCTAGTATTTTTTCCACATGAAGTCTGAGTAATCTAATGTGAGAACGCAGCAAGATATAATCTGCAGAATTCACTTCGAGTATGTGGGAGGGGATGATGACATTTATTCCCTGTGATCAGTGCATGATCTTCATAGACACTTATGCACAAAGATCAGGAGGATTTCAGGGGCAGTCCTCCTGAAATTCTCAAGCCATTTTCACATATGAACTTAAGAAACATTCTAGATCCGCAGGCTTGTTAAAAACAGCAGGGATCAAATGATGGACATCTGTTTTCTTTTTGCCTTGCTCCGGTGATCAGCTCCTATGGGCGATGCCGTTTTATATTCATCAAAACGTTCAACGTGTTTGAGCTGTACTGCGAACCCAAACAGTCTCCCACAACTGTTAAGAAAAGAAGCAGAATGGTCTTGTACCTTGCCGTCTCATGCTCCTACTGTATCTATTACTCTTCTTTGTGTGTTTTGTTGTTTCTACTTCTTCTTCTTCATTTGTTCTTTAACGTTGGTTAGCAAACATTTACTAGCAGATTACCGCCACCTGGATTGGGGCATATACTGCCTTGTGTTATTGCCTTCATTTGGACGTATCTGAATTTCCTTAGGGAACCTTCCCAAGGGATTAATAAAGTTCCTATCTATCTCTCTATCCATCTATTTGTCGTGTGACTGCAGGCAGTAAACCGTGACGTCCTTAATGGTTCGGGACGAATACAAAAAACGTTACAGTCCTAGAATACAGCCAAGATAAGTTTATAGGGTGGAGTTATTTTAAACAGTTTAATAGTCTGCAAAGCTTGAGGTGTTAAGGATTTTATTTCCTGACGTGGGATTTTTTTGAGAATAAGGCATTTCCCGCGACTTGAACCCCTTAAGATGATACACAATACGTAATCAAAGTAGAGCGAAAAGCAAGTGGAGGTGGCTCATTGAAAAGTCTGGATGATTGACTTACTTATGCTCTACATATCATGCTGTTTATCACTTGCTGTGCTGAGATGAAACCTGTCTTTACTGATGCAAATAATCCACTCCAGCACTCATGTAGAATGACACTGTGCTCGTGAGAACTTGATCTCTTTCTTTGTGATTATTTGAGCACAGCAGGGACATAAACAAATGTCAGTTTAGCATGTCATTTCAGAGAAGTTCTGTGGGGTCTTTACAGAGGACTCATTTTCTCACTCAGTGTGAACATTGGGCACTTTTAATTTTCCATCCAAAATATGTAAAGCTGTCCAGACAGACCATTGTGCTGTTGACTATAAAGGTTTAAAGATGCAAGCAGTTTAATATAGGAAAGTTACATTTAATGAATGTGATATGCTTGTTTCAATCTCTGTTTGGACACTTTCTCTGCATTTGTTAAACAAGAGAGCTGTTCAGGTGAAGAGGTGAAGAGATATAGCTTTATACTCATCGTAGGTTGAAAAGCAAACCTTAAGATAAAATATTCCAGAAACAACAATCTTTACCCCTGCTTTTCCTATATCAGCCTTCCTCTACACCAAACCATCATACTGCTGCTGCAGTCTCGTTGTAAGGCAGGGAAAAACCTTGATAGTGATTTTTGTTATTTTCAGAGACAGCCTCCATTTCATAGTATACCACAAGGACATATAAACTAACATTAGGCTAAAGAAAAAACATTGAAAGCCATTCCACTCTTCAGATCATTTACTTCCCATCTCACAGAATACTTTGCTTTTGTGTTTTCTTATTGCTGTTAACTTAAATAGTGTATCTCATTTTCAGAACTGATCTAACCAAGTTTACTGAGTCAAAAAGCAAGAGTCTCGCACTAAGGTCTTATATGGACGCACTATATGGGATTTTTTCTTAATGTATTATTTTTAAGATCATTAAACTATTCTGCTTTGGGATTAAGGGAATAACTGTATTTCTCAATACAAGGCAGTCATCTTGACTGATTGTGGATTTTGATAATATATTCTTTGTTAAAACAAAAAAACCCACATCTTTAGGATCTTGACTTTTTTAGATGTATGTCTCTTTTATTCTACATTTTCTTTGTAATGAAAGTCATTTCATAGACAGTGGACGGTCATATTTCTGTTTTTGATTGTATTTATCCTTGGGCAAAGCAAAAACCCATACCTTTAGCTTTGAGCTGAATCCAAGAAAGAAAATGTTCCTGAAACAACCTTCCAACCTTGTGTGCGCGAACCCTTTGATACTTACATAATTCAATTTTCAGTGTTTCCCCTGCCAAGAAGATACAACTGTTTCCTTTTCTTTTACCATATTCTATTGGTTCTTTGAAAGATTTTTGTCTAAACATTTCTGATGCCAAAACAGTTTTTGTTCACTTGCCAACTTACAATATTTTAAGACATGCAAGAGTAAATATAAGATAAGATAAGATACTGCAGCTCTTATAGTGCAAAAATGTTTTTTTTAACCACACTGTGATTTTAATTGTGTTCAAGAGAATCCCCTGTCTCTGAACAGAAACAGTCTTGTAAGACATATTTGAAAAGTCAGTGCAAGCTATGATATTACAAAAATATAAAGTAGTTTAACACAAAATCCAGACTAAAATCACACCGCTGCAAATAAAGGCAAAGAGTAAATGCAAATAAAGGCTTATAATATCACTCTATCATCATTAGTGCACTATAGATCTGGATAAAATAATATATTTTCTTCCACTTTAATTATTTTCACGTGTGGTGTATTGGACAGCTTAATATGTAATTTCAATAAGATTTTAAAAATAAACACATTTATTAGTCTCTCTCTCCCCTCTTCTTTTTACAATCAGCTCTGTGATCTGAAACATCTGAATAATGTAGGTCAGTAGGTAGAGTTTCTTTCTCTTATCCTTCTCCTAGGCAGGTTAGGTGTTATTAAATTACCATGGTGATCTACCCCTGTGAGAAGGGACCATTAGTACTGAAATCCCAGATATAGTCCTGAAGTTACCTCGGATGACTGACAATGCTGCATCATAGTACATCCCTCAGGAAGGAACTTTCAGCACAAACCCCCACATCTAAATGTAAAGCTACTGGTAGCCTTTTGCAACACATTCCTGAATAGTTGATTCAAACTTCTGTACTGCCACTGACCAGGAAAATTAATAGTTATGATTTTGGGTTGGAACCAAG